ATTAATAAAAGATTTGCAAAATAGGAGCAGGGTAGGTACAAGTAGATAAGAATGAAAGGGCAGTATTAATAGAGGGTAAAATTAGAATAGATAGGTGGCTATCCTTGACTAAAGCTAAGTTGGCTGCAGTTTGGATAGTAGTATTGACAGTAAATAGTAATAGTAGATTGGTCATTTGTCTAGATAGTTCTGCAGCAATTGCAAGTAGTGATACAAATCGTCAAAAATTTTGCAATTGATTAGTTGTCAACTAAATAATTATTTAATTTTTATTTGATTTTTGTTTGATTTTTATTTGATTTTAATATAAATTAACAAAAATTTTTCATTCAATTAGTTGTCAACTAAGCCAACTAATCAATTTTTTGATTTTTGATTTGTATCACTAATTGCAAGCCTAGAAAAGTATATAGATTTTGAGAACGTAAGAAGTTGGAGTAGAAAAAAAAACTTTATATTGGTTTTAAAGATCAAGAGTATGTACAAATTCAAGAATATTAAGTTAGAACTTGTTAAAGTCAAAACATATAGTGGGGTTAAGTAGAATGAAAGAGCTGATAAGCTAGCGAAAAAAGATGCAACATATAGCAGTATTGCAGATTTGAAGCTAGAAGTTAATAATCACTTCCCTTATATGCTTTTTTGGAAAAACATATCTGTTAAAATGCCAACACGAAAATTCTGCAAAATCATCTCAGGAATGGCAATAAGAGCAGAGTGGCAATGTTCCAATATGGCAGAAAGCTTTGAGTTCCTCGAAGTGACCCATAGAAGCTAAAGAGCATTGTGAAAGGAGAACAAAAGACTGACAAGTACCAAGTATAAGTTACTTAAAGCCAGTAGCCATATCATATTTAGAATTAAATATATAAGCAACAATTTGCCAATATTAACAATACTGAAAAGAAGAAAACCTGACTTATATGAGGCAGATACCTGTATAGAGTGTGGAAAAGCAAATAAGACAACTGGTCATCTGATAGTATGTGAAAGATATACTAGTTTTTGGAACAATGCAAAAGAAGTCGCTAGTCAGTATATATGGAACAAACTTGACAGAACTGAGAGAAAAAAGGTCTCTCAAGAAAGATTGAAACTTGGTCTGAGAGGCTCGACTGAAGCATTGCTATATAGCTGGAGAGAAAGTTATATAAGAGGTCTTATACCTGATGATGCTATAAAGAGTTTATCGAGTTTACGACTATTAGGAAAAACTGCTATTCAAAGCTTAAAGATATATAAACAGATTATCGAAGAAAGTTTTTACAAAAAAATTTGGCGAAGAAGATACATCAGAGTAAATGAATGAGAAAAAAAAACGGAATATACAGACATGACAAAATCAAGACCAAGAAAAAAACTACAACAGATAAGCAAACTCCAAAGTCAGCCAAGAAGAGAAGAATGAAAATAGTAAACCATAAAAAGAAAAAGATCAAGAAAAACAAAGAGCGTAAGATTGCACAGTTATTTGAAAGAGGTGTAGATGAAGTTGTACAGAGTGAGAGTGGCCTATTTTGGTTCAGTTCTTGACAGAGCTGACAACATCTCCTAACTCGTATGTGAGTCAGTGCGACAAGTCATATCTGAGCACAGTACATGTAGCCGGGTGATGCCGGGCTTGCAATTGCAAAGAGTTTACTAGAGATAGCCTTATATTTCACATTGTAAAATTTTGTATTTAAGCTCTGACAAGACTGTCAAAGAAATAAAAAAAAATTCTATATACTGTTGAATCTCCCAAACCTGGTACGCATGGTGGACAGATTTTGTATCGGTATTGAGAGGTTATCAGATTTGAAACCATTATAAACTATTAGATTTATATAACGGAAACGGACTTGGTAGACTAATTTTTTATCAGATTTGACAGGTTATCGATTTTGAGAGGATCGATTTTGGGAGGTTCAACAGTATTTATAGAATTCAATAAAAAAAAACTACCATCAATTTGATTAGGTACATATTAAGTATTAGAAAGATTTGATATAGCTTTATTTTTAGTTTTTTTTTAAACTTTGAGCAAATAAATTTCAACTGCTACTTAATTAAATATGATAGAATTTTTTATTTTGATTCTATATATTCGTATAATTTCAAATAATAATAATAATAATAATAATAATAAAATCCATCAAATTTAGTTGGGTGATTACTGATATATCTTTGCTTAAATTTCTAGAAAAGTCGATGTGTTTTTTCAAATAACACCAAATTAAATTGGCTAGATATTTTATATTACAAATATAAATCAACAAAACTGGTTCCAATCGTGAAAGCGCAATACAATTTATAAAACAAAATATATATATTGATAAATTATAATCTATTCTTTTATGTATTATCTTTAGCAATTAGAGAGTTAAATTCGAAATTTATTTAATCCTATCGACTGCGCAAATATCACCTAACCACTGTGGTACACCAACGCAATTCAGTAATTTGACGTCAACTATAGTCATGAGACTGACCCGGTTTTACATTACATAATGCAACCTAGGATAATAATAATATTGTCACCAGTAACCGGGTTGCATGAAACAGGGGTTGATTTCGTAATTTATTCGCTTTTTTGTTTTGCTGTTTCCTGACACATCTGACATTTTCTTACAAATATGATATATCCTCAGCAAATAAAACCGTAAAAGACACAAGGGAGTGTCCAAACCCATTCTGGTAATGATAAGTTGACGCAGGAGAATGACAAGCGTTATAAGGAAATAAAGTTTATCTAAAATCAGTGTGTTAAAAACCCAGAATTGAATGACAGTTGATACAAGGGAATCAGAGTTTTGTCGTTCGCTTAGTTAAAGATCATGAAAATTATAAAGGTTATAAATATTATGTAAGGTCTTAAAATCTATGCCTTCTCTCCTTTTTTTCGCATCCTTTATTAGGGTCTAAAGGCTTTCGAATTATAACTCAAGAATCACTTTAAGATGCATGACAAAGTATAAAGTGATGACAACATATTTTATTATTTATACTAGGGACAGGAATCATCTAAAATTTTTCTTTAATTGTTAAGTCGTATCGGTATTAATTGTTTAATTCAGCTGATACGTATTGAGATAATTTTAACTCATGACCAACATACATAACTCAACCCGAAACTATGAACCGGTTTTATGCGGTTAAACGGTTCCAATCATTAGTATTAGTAATTACAGAATTACACATAACACAATTAAGTGATCGGCTAACAACTACCAATAATAAATCTTCTGCATGATAAAAAAAGCCTTCATATGATTCGAACCATTGTAGAAGCAAGTTCTAAAAATAGACATGTAACTTTAAACATAAAAGCTTTATCTAAATAGAATCAAATTTCTAAATTTGTAATTTATTAAATCCCGCATTTAAAATTCGAATTTTAATGAAATCTAGGTTTTAAATTCGAATTCATCTTCTAAGCATGAGGTTGTAAATAATACTTCATTATCTGTGTATAGTAAAATTGGACGGCTAAAACAAAATTTGGGCAAAATTTTGACAATGAATAACGCAAATCTTTGTCATGAAACCTGCTTTAAGCATTAATAAAAGTAATCAGCATTAATATTTGCCGAAATGCATATATTTCATCGTTACAAGCAAGATAAGCAATCTCGTCTAACATAGAAACTAACAAAAGCACGCAATCTATCGGATACAGTTTCAAAATGCCTGGACATCCGTATTGTACAACACTGCTATCCAATTACGAAGACCCAATGTTGCTCCATAATGCGATCACGTTGAAACATGAATGATTACAGTAATGCTAGGGTAATACCCGGTTACTATAGCATTATTTATGAGAAAATCATCCCTTTTATAAATAATGAATAATAACGATAGATACAATTTAAAATAAAGAATAAAAAAAAAAAAAGTTCGCAAAAATTTATTCGATCTCCATTGACATAACATCAAATAGACCCGGAAATAATATATATGGTCAAAGGGTTTACTTTAAAATATACCTGCGCAAATGCAATACGTAGTGTAGTGTAAAAAACGTGGCTATATGCTAAAAGTTTCACAGTATATCACGTTGTAATAACTTTAATACGTTATATTATTACAATTGCTGATTAAGGAAAATTTCTTTGCTAATATATTACCAAGAAAGTATATCATATATGTAATATTAATCACAAAATGTAGAATTCTTTCGATCGGATATTTGGTTTAATAAAAAAAACCAAATGAATATTCCTTAATGCTTGTACAGTGCATAGTAACAATAATCAATTAACGTTAATGTACACCCTTGTTCAACTCTTAAAATATTAAGAACGGTTTGTGGAAGTGCGATAATGTGCATACAGATGCAGATCGAAATTTGGAATTTTTTATTTTTGGCCTAACCAAATAAGGTGTAATTCGTACACTATTTTATTGATAAATATATTGTTTTTTAAAACTCGAGGAACCGGTAATACCGTTTTACGTAGAAAAATTTTCCATAAATAGCTCAAGATTCTACCTAATTTAAGTATGACTAAATGTATTAACAAAATCTTTGATTCACATAGCCACATAAATAAGTGTTTTGCATGGAATTTCTAAATTGACCATTAAAATTTACGTATGTGTTACAATATTTATAAAGCATATAATCAAAATACGCATAATTATAGAATGAATTATTTTTCTTTTCTCTTCACTTCCCAAGCAATTATTCAAATTAGGGAAAAGATAGCGAATGCGGTTTTAAAATTAATCTCACTTACCTTAATCCATATTATTGAAACATCATTCATCCATATTCATCCAATTCACCTATATTCTTGTATTCCTTAAGAGATCTTTTGAATTACACAAATAACTATCATTAAAAAAAAAAATAGAATAAAAGATCATAATAAATGTTTCAGAAAATAAAAAACTATAAAAAAAACACACAAATAAATGTTGATGTATCTAAAAAAGATAAAGGAATTATTTCTAGGGGTGAAAGTTTGAGAAGAAGGCTGAGTGCCATAAAGAAACAAAAAAGGGATATTGAACAAATGGTTACTTTAAGCGAAGCATATTCAATTATTCATTTATGTGCTGGGGAAGTTTTATCAAGAGGTTAGTAAGATAACTAAACTATTTACAGATGTGGAAGAATAAGCAAAAATTTTTTTTTTATTTTCTATTAAAATTTTTTTATTATAAATAGGATTAGGTGAAGAGAATTTATTCTCGCCCGTTGAAAGTGAGGATAACCCTGATGAGGTCAGGTACCTCATCAATTGCCTTTTACGTGATAATCGTACGGAATTCGAAGATGAACTCAAGTTTCAAGACATTCGTAATGTAGTTGCCGGTATTAGGTGGACTCTTAGAAAATGTGTCACTAGTGTAGTGTCATATAAAGATTACCAAAACTTTGTTCGTCTAGAAATTGGTAAGTTTATATGCTATCATAAATTTTTATAAAAAAAAACATAACTAAAATTATTAATATAAAATAATATATTAATTATATAATTTTTAACTTATAAATTATATAAGAATCACTATACGATTCGCGTAAAGGTATATTCAGTAAATTTATATATAATCTCTCAAAACCAAGCCAGGCAATCCTTTTGGAATTATTTGAATTATTTTCTCAAGTTATGACTCATGCGCATATAAACAAAATTCCTGCTCAAAGAATAATTAAATCAATGGCACATTTTATTGTCGGTGATAAAGAACTTAAATTTGAAAATTTTAGTGCGGCATATACTAAATGGTTAAGATGTTCTAATGCATGTACGCATTTATTTCTCGCTTATTTACGAGAAAGAGCTTGTTCTGCTAGCATTCCACCTCGGTTGAACATTTTATTAGATGGTTATGTACAATTTCGTAAAAAATCAAGATCTTCTCCAGATTATCAACATCCATTAGCTGATATTACCATTGAGGACTTACAATTGATAATTCGGCCAAAAAAACAACGTCAGATGAATCCACGACAATTCGATTCCATGAGGAGTAGTGGATTATCTCGACAAGTTGATCCTACAAGGAATAGTAGTGGATTATCTCGACAAATTGATCCTACAAGGAATAGTAGTGCGAATAATGGAACTCCACACCAATCCATCTTACTTAATAATGGAGCCTCACGAGGATCCGGCATTGTATTGAATAATAATGGAAATGTACGACAATCTAACGTTACAATGAGTAACAGGCAAACTAATTCTACATTGTTGAAATCAATGCTCAAAAATGGAGCCCATGAGAGTGTGGCTTCTAGAGGTTCATTAACCATCGCTGAAATGTTTCCAGACATTGCTGAATCATTAGAATCATTGAGAAGAAAAACAGCTTATCAAAATCTGGAAAATATAATTGAAGATTCAAATGTTGCTACACATAAATGGGATGAATTACAAATTAAAGGATTTAATGTACTTTCTGAGGAAGCCTTGAAATTATTCTTTTCCTATGACGACAGAACCTCAAATCCTTGTGCTAGTATCGTACGAAAACGTAGTAGGAAAAGATTTAACAAAAAAACTTTTGATGAACGATTTTTAGAAATGATTCCCAATATTGAAATTAATCGTGAAACATTAAGAGATACCTTTTATCAGAGTGAAGGAAATAATTCAAGAATTTCCATGCGAACAACTGTTGTATGGGATGAATTCGAGAAGAAAGGTTTTAGAGATTCATTAGGTACTAATTCAAATATCCTTAGTCTTTGTTCTACTTTAGGAAAATCAACGGTTTCTATACCTCTTTCTGAGTTAACTGAGGCAACAAATACCGATATAACCAATACTGATGTTACTAATCCTGAAGTAATCAACACTTATGTTACTAATCCTGAAGTAATCGATACTTATGTTACTAATCCTGAAGTAACCAATTCTGAGATTAACGAACCGCAACCGCAACTTGAAGAAATACAATTACGAACTCAAGAAAGATCTCGACCGATTAATCGACAAGGTAAACGGAAAAATAATAAAATTTTTAGAAAGACTATTTGCTTTTTATGCTTACGACCTGGATCGGGTGTTTCTGGATTTTCCGTTACCATGGAAACGGACGAAGATCAAGATGAAACAAATCCTATGAATTCTCACGTGACCATAGAACCTATTAACAACAATTTCCCATACATGTGGGTTGAATCTAGTGCTAATGTAAGAAATGAAAAAGAGCCTTGGGAATGGGTTTTTGTCGAACCTCGAGATGAGAGACACGAAACAGAATGGATTATGTTTGAAGATAAAGGAAAATTCCTTTCTGAACGAGAAAAAGAAAAACGTAAATCACGTAAAAAATCTCTTTTGAACACTTTGAATACAATGATGCCATGGTCAAAATCAAATCGTCGCAACAATTCTGATACAATAGAATTTAGTCCTCAGGAACAGGATAATGATTATGATTATGATGACGATAGTATTATAGGTCCAAACAAGTTTATAAATAAGATAAATACTTCGGGTCGACCAAGCCCAACAGGAATTATATCGAATTTTATAGACAATGGTGAAGGTTCTTCATTAATACCACAAGGAGATTATTATCCTCAAGAAATTTATGATGATTATATACAAGAGGAGGAAGATAACGATATTGTAGTAAATACTATGCCTTATTCACGACAAAGTAATAACAGTAATAATATTAATTATAATAATAATTATAATATTAATTATAGTTCTCCTTTGTCGATCGTGACACGAGGAGATAATGATAACAATTCTACATACAGTGAATCAACATCACCAAATTTAATTAAACGAAATATACTTTCATTAGGATATGACGATATTTCAGTTTCTTCATTAGCATTTAATCAAGAACAATATAATGAACAATCATATGTATTAGCTAGCAGAAGAGTTTTACAAACACAACAATATCCACCTTATCGCACGTTAAATGAGAGACCATCATATCAGATGCCTGCTATACAATCAAAAAAACCTGAAACAAATAGGGAAAGGGAAATTAAATTTTGGTAGAAACAATTATTTAGAATTACTGCATTGTAGATAGTTTAGACATGTATTAATATATATTTTTTTCTCTTGGGTTGGGCGCGTGATAGAATAGACATTTTTATGGCTTCTTGGGTTCATGAATTTTACGTAATAATGACATTCCTACATTCCTTTTTTTTTTTTCTTTTTTTCCCTTTTTTTTTTTTTTTTTTTTTTTTTGTGTTTAATCTTAATATGTAATTCTAACACACTCTTTTGTTATATTATCAGATTTTTTTTAAACTATTATTATCTAAATTTAATAATATATATTTGTATATTGGTTCTATGTTACGGACCAGTTAAATAAACGAACTTTACACCAACTTATTATCATCATAAGTCGTCATTTTCAGATATATGCGCATATATGCGGGATATGCACAAAATTGGGTTGGAAATGCGTTTTTCTTGAAAAAAAAAGTCTTAAAAATCACATTAACTAATTTAGATTTAGCTTGCTTCTTAACGTTAATGTTAAATACTGTATTAATTATTATCGTTATCAACAATACACCAATTCTTAATGCTTTGTATTACATTAGTACACGCATACATACGTACCAGGGACATGGGGAAAATGCGATTTTATTTATAGGATTTTGAAAATCCTATAAATAAAATCGCATTTTCCCCGTGTCCCTGATACGTACGTACCATTATAATCGGAGATATTTAATGGTACATATGACATCATAAAGATAAAATTACGCATAATCCTACGTAAAAATAATTTTAGCGAAAAGAAAACCATCGATGATCGTTATAGGAAAATAGTTTAAATCACTGAAAAACCAATTAAAATGCTTTTATAATCCCTATTTAATATTTAATTAATATAAAATATATATAACATATATGAGTAAAAGACACCATAAATAAAAAATACATGATAAAACATACAACAAAAAAGTGTTTTTACAGAGTATTAATACACCAATGAAATAATACAAATAAAAAGAAATTTACATATAAACAAAGAGTATTAGCGTTAGAAAAATTATTATATTTATCAAAAAAAAAGAAAAAATCAGGATTTTAAAAATTCGACATTGTTAGTTAAATGACGATTATGCAAGATATATCCAAAAATTTAGACTTCTTGACTTTCGATCAATGCATCATTTCACAAACTCATTGATCGAATTCTCAAACTTGCACCACCAAAACTAGATCTTCCCGCTATTCGCTCAGCCATTCCACCTCTTTGTTGTTCAGTAGGTAATCCTTTATACGTGTATCCAACAAATGCCAATGCCTTTCGCATATTTAATATATCTTTACCGTGTCGCTTATCTCTCAACATAGGGTCTTTTGGTTTCCTCTCACCCTCAGGAGGTGCTAACGGACTATCATCAATATTGTCTTCAAAGTATCTAGTATCTATTTCATCCTTTAGTCGAGGTACAAATGGTGGTTTCATCTTATGAAGATTATCCCAGTCAACACCTTTAAACCAAGGATGTGATTTAATATCTGATGCGTCTCCTAAACCCAATGCAGCGGATTTTCTATTTGCGAGGTAAAGTCCATTTGGTCGAATTGTAGATCTTGAAGGACCCGAACCAAGACGAATTTCCTTTTCACAGATTAACTTTTTTATTAGGTCCTGAGCTATATATAATTATTAATTACAGTATTTCAATATTTTCATGTTACGACAAGAAAAAAATTAATTTACCTTCACGAGAAACAAAAGGCATAAGAGGAAATTTCAGATGGTTTTGCCAATCAATAATCTTTAGACGAGTTGTGTGACGAGACTTGGAACAAAATGGTGGATACCCATATAACATTTCGTAAATAATTACCTAATGATAAAGTGAATAATAATGTGAATAATTTATTCAGGATCGAATAATTTGACAAAATATTTATAAATTTACTTACACCAAGACTCCACCTACGCGTATCATGTGCATCAAAAACCGAATAAGTAAGCATATTGACGATAATTGACGATAATTAATGATAAATAAACTGTTAATATGAATAGATACTTACCAATCACAACCTCTGCCATAACCAGAACCTCTTAAAACTTCAGGTGCCATATAATTATTTGTTCCGACAACAGAGTAAGCCATATTCTTACGATGCTTATCTCTCCAACTTAAGATACGAGTTTTAGGTACATCATTATCAGAATCAGAATCATCAGACCATTTATTCAACCATTTTGTTGATTGATATTTTTTTCCCATTAATCTTGAAAGAGTATCAGTTTCAACGTCAACACCAGTTTTACGTAAAAGATCGCGACGTTGTTGATCATAATATGATGAATCATGAGCCCAATGAAAATCTGTAGCCAAACCAAAATCCGAAAGCCTTATATGACCCTCTCTATCAAAAAGAAAGTTATCAGGCTACATGAAAAATAAATTAACATTATTTAGTTAAAATAACAGATGACGCGTTATTACATTATTAATATATTGTTGACAAAAATTTTACTTGTATTAAAATAAATTATACCTTTATATCACGGTGGATGTAGCCCATTTTATGGGCCTCTTCAATACATAAAACCATTTCAGCAACATAAAATTTAGCAAAATTTTCGGGAAAAGTATCCATTTCGATAAGTAAATTTAGTAAGTCACCACCAGGCATATATTCCATAACAAGGTATAAATGATCAGCGTCTTGGAAAGAATAAATTAACTTTATTATCCATCGAGCAGATTCAGAAGCAGCGGTTAATAGATCTCTTTCTGCACGTACATGACCTTCTTGACCTTTTTTTAACATATCAGCTTTTCTCATTATTTTCATTGCATATAATATACCAGTATTTTTTTCACGAACAAGTTTAACAACACCAAAAGCACCATGACCTATTGTTTTAATCATTTGAAAAGCATTGATAGTAATTTTTTTACGTAAAAGACGCATATAGTCAGATTCAAGTGTAAGCCATTCTTGACGAATTTCACGTTTATCCTTATCAGAAATTGCCATTTTTTCAAGTTCAGATTCAAGTTGTAAACGTCTTTTAGCACGTCCTGATGGTTTCTTGAGAATACCATAAAAGTAGTTTTCAAAATAAATTTTAGCAGCAACAGATTTTTCAATTGTAGTCAAAGATGGAACTATATTTTGTTGCGAAGGATCAGAATACTGATCAAGATACCGATTGTTGTAAGGTTCAGAATTCTTGATTATAACAGTTCCAGTACTATTTTCTTGTACACCATCAGGTAATATATTACTGTCTTTTCCAATAAATGAATTTGGTAAAGTTTTATACTGTATTGAAGTATCTAAATCAATATTTTAAGACCAATATAAACGTTACATTAAATGATAGCATGAATTAGATCTTGTAAAAGTTTTTAAAAAAATTAGAATATTTACCTGGCATTTTATTTTCAGTAGGGTTCAGACTCCAATATGATAATATTTCTTGAGCTTGTTCTTCACTTTCGGTATGAATAAGATGTCTACCGAGTAAGAATGAGAGTTTTTTTTAAATATTTTCAAAATCGGACGTAAAAATAAACAACCGCATATAATAAAAAATTAATATATACTCAAAATCAATTGGTGATGATATATCATCTTTGCTATAACGTCGTTTCATAAAAGTACCGAATTGTAAAGGAACTAATGTCATAATTACGATAATTCACAATTAAATATTAATATGTTTAATTAACACATGAAAATTACTTATAATGATCAATAGTGATTTAATGATGTAAATTACCATTCATCCTCGAAGCAAAATAATCGAGAATTTCATAAAACCTCGGTGAAGTAATACTACTTTTTTTATTACCAGGTGGTGATTTTGATCGTGGTTGAGTACCACCATTAGTTATTACTGATTTTCTTTTAAACATTTATTATTATTATTATTATTATTATTATTATTATTATTTATTTTATTTTATTTTTTTTAATCGTTAAAATTTATCGAAAAGAAAGACGTAATTTTAGGAGAAGCCTTAAATCCTTTTATTAAATGAAGATGTTTGTATCACCCACGACATTAATTAAAATAGAATTCAGGGGAATTTAATCGCGGAGTATAAGTAGAAGTTAGAGTTACATATGTACGTACGTAAGAACACAGTGTACGTACAGTACGTACGTATGTATACGGAGGTAATTAATTAAGATAGAATTCAGGGAGGTTAATTCAAATGTAACTCATAATGTGGATCAATACAAATTTTGTATTACCAATAGGAACGATTACAAACAAGGAATAGTCTAGTGTCAAAAAAAGGTCGTAAGAACTTTTTTTATTTTTGTCATAGTGAAATAATCTTAATTTGTTCTCAGAATACATAAATACTGCGGTAAAATTTTACTAATAATTACAGAATTAAAAGAACGATAAATATCTGCTAGTTTACTTCTTAATACAAATGACACTAATATAAAAGTCTTTTTTATACGTATAGGAACTTTCTTATAAAACTTCCTTATATGTATTAAAAAAGTCATTTCTTTGTACATACGTATCGAGAGTCTTTTATAGTTAGTCTTTAACTCTGTAAGGAAAATTTTTTGAACAAATAAATACGTAACTATGGTATCTTTTTGAGAATTTACAGATTTAACGGAAAGGGGAAATTGTTTATCATAACATTTTTAGTAATCCTGTTGTGACCTGACCTGTGATAAATCAGCTGATTTTAAAAATCAAAATTACGGAGAAAAAAAAACTTACCCCTCGCTCTATAATGTCAAAAATTAAAATTGATCGAACAAAGGATGTTCAAATAGACGAAGATGTTAATTTTGAATCTTTAATTACAAATCAAAACATATTACGTGGATTATCAGAAGCTGGTTATGATCGTCCTTCTCCAATTCAATTAAAAGCTGTTCCTCCGGGAAAGCTTGGTCTTGATGTTATTGCTCAGGCAAAATCGGGAACCGGAAAAACCATAGTATTTGGAGTTATCGCATTAGAAATGTTGAATTTAAGTAATACTCGACCGCAGGTTTACATATTAAATTTATTTCTTGTTAACAATTTAACAATTTACAATTATTCAATTAGTTAATTTATTTGATTTTCGATCTCGATCCACAGGTATTAATTTTAGCGCCTACTAGAGAAATAGCAGTACAAACAAAAGAAGTCATTTCAAACATTGGTCGTTATATGAATGGTTTGATTTGTCATGTATTTATTGGAGGGATTCCTGTTAAAGAAGATATACCAAAGCTCAAAAAATGTCATATAGTAATCGGATCTCCTGGTAATTATATAATCTTGGATGAATTGGAATGTAATAATGACAAATTCAAAATTAACAATGTGTTTTTTCATATCAGGTCGCATTGGCCTTCTATTAAACAAGCAAATGGCTGCCAAAGACATCAAATTATTTGTGCTAGATGAGGCTGATAAATTGATGGAAAGCAATTTTGTGTCTCAATTAAAGTATGAAGTCATGTTCATTTGATTTATTTTTTATTTTTTTATTTTGACATTGTTTTTAATTATTATATATATTAAATTTAAATAGAAAAATCAATGATAAACTTCCAAAAACTAAGCAGGTACTTGCGTTTTCTGCAACATATGATAAGGTGTTGCTAAAAGCTCTTGAAAATTTTGTTTGTAATCCGTATCATATCATGCTTTCGGAAGATACTCCAGCTCTGGAAGGTAAGATCAATTATTTGCTGCTTTGCATTTATTTCTATTATTGTTGTTTTAGATTACTAAAAAAATGAGTTCATCTTGCAGGCGTATTACAATATTTCCAAATAGTAGAAATTCCAAATACATTCAATGTCACTGAAAGATTCAAATTTTATGAAGAAAAGTTCAAAAAGATGGTTGATCTTTTGAGTCGTGTTCCATTTTACCAATGCATCGTTTTTCTGAATCATCGTGGAAGGTGATCATTTATTTATCATTATCTTATTTAGCATGTTAGTTATTACGGTTAATTTTAACATACATTTATACAGGGCTGTTGATCTAGCAAATTATTTAACGAGCCAAGGGTGGATGGCGATGAACATATCAGGCATGATGGTGTGAAATTTTGTAGTATTTCTTTTCAACTCTACAAAATATACTTATATATATTCATAGGTGGGCTTGATCAACGAATGCGTCTTGAGACAATGTCGAAAGCTCGTAATTTTCAAATAAGAGTCCTTGTTTGTAGTGATTTGGTACGCTTAATCTGAATTATTTCAACATTTATAAATTTACCTATTTATTTAATATATTTCTTTTCTATAAGATTGCCAGAGGTATTGACATTGATAGAGTAAATTTGGTGGTAAACCTTGACATGCCGAAGGACGCTGAAACTTACTTGCACCGTGTTGGCAGAACTGGACGTTACGGTAATTAATTAGTATGGTTATATATGATCGATTGTTATGATAATAATGTTTATTGAAATTGGTTAATAATAGGAACTCACGGTCTAGCAATTAGTTTTGTTGATATTAATGAGATGGGATTTATTGAATCTTTGAAAACAAATTATCATGTTGATGTACAACCTCTTCCTGGTAAATTATTCTTTTAATTACTTTTGATATTACATTGTAATTATTGATATAAAATAATTTAATTTTAAAAAATTTTTTCGAATTTTGATTTAGACGAATTTTCATTTAAGCATCATCAAAGACCATTGACAACCGAAAATGATCAAGAAGCATACGAAAACTTGTTGAATTTAAGGGAGACAATAAAAGTATGTCATTGGTGATAATTTCATCAATAGTTATTTGAATTACAAGTTGACTATTTCTTATTAATAAAATTATTTATTTAAAATTCCTAGACTCAAAATCCTGAGGTTCCGCCAGTTATATTTTCTGATGATGCAGATTCAAAGATCAGACAAACTAAATCAGAAGAGCAAAAGGAGCCAGAAGAGGCGGAAGAAACGCCATACCCATTCTATGATACTTATCATTCTGATTATTATAATTGGATGTATAATGCTTATAATACTGATTATTATAACTGGATGTATAATACTTATAATACTGATTATTATAATTGGGCGTATAATGTGGTACCCAGTGATACTGGTGAATATTATGACAATAATAATGATTTTATACCGCCGGATCTTGCTTTTTAAACCTTTTACAATTTTAATGTTACGTGTTCTATATAAGATAATTTTTGCTCGTATTTAAGTTTGTAAACTTACATTATAACTTGCAAAACTAGGTAATGCGTAGCATTGTTAGGGTGCGAAATGGACCGGGCCGAATCCGGAAATTTGTGGGCCAGGTTTGGACTTTATATGCATACCTGGTAGGGCCAACGGACCTAGTAATATTTAGTAAACCTTAGTAGATAATATAAAATGCTATATAAATTGTAGGTTTTATATCTTATTATTAACGTATACATACATTCGTTGAGAAGGTATTATAAGTAAAATCGTGTTCTTGGCATTTTTACTATTACCCAAAGGTTATTTTTTGGGCAAATTGATCGGTTAATTTACGTATAAAGACATGATACGTTATAAGATAATATATCATTTTATGCAATTTGGAGTAAATTTTTGATTTTTTTTATTAAGCGTAGAAGATATATACATCATTTATCATTTAATTTAAATAGAAATTAGAAATATGCTACAAGTAAAGCTTATGATAATATTTAATAATTTTATTAAAATTTTATAGTTTGTAAATTTTCTAATAATATACCTCGGAATAACGCTCACGAGCGTTAGACCTAAAATAGCATATGCGGTCTCGAATTAACGCTCATGGGCGTTTCCGAATTACGCGCATCTCAATAAAAGTAAAGAAACAAAGAATGCTCCAAACTAGGTTTTATACTAAGTAATCCTACTTTCGAATCCTAATAAAAGTTGTTCCTCGCATTGAGACAAGTAGGTTTACTTAGCACCGAACCTAGTTCGGTTCATTTTTTCAAATCTTATTATGATATAAAAGGTGCGATCAAAAAATCAATCCTACTAAGTTTCTACTTTATGAGAAGAATTAGATATAAATAAATTAGAAGAGTTTTCAGATAAAGATATCAGATTAGAAATAAGTATAGCAGGGTTAGTATGAGTAGTGTTACTATTACTAGTGAAGCAAGATTGGATTGAGATCTTAAAGTACAATATGGGTTCCAAATATTTGTATAGATTTGTTGATTAAGATGAAGAAGAAATTGAATAGTGAGAGAATGGCAAAGTTATTAGAAGGGTATATTCTTATAATGTGTTTATAATATCAAATGAAACAAGACCAGAGACTGTAGAAAACAGTGATAGTTTAAAAGTAAAAGGATGTATTTGTAAGCTATTAAGGTTTTTAATTTGGCTAAGAAGTTGATGTATTTGGTTTGTGAAATTTGAAGTTTGTTAGGAGTTAAAATATGTTGTAAAGAGATATTAAGAAGATTTAATATTAAATTAGAGAAAGGGCAGAATGCCCAATGCAAGGCATCAGTAGATTGTTGGCAAATATGGCAAGAATTGGAATAAGAAGGATATCTTTTATGAAGAATATGTGGAGATGGAAGATCATCAAGTAGTAGTTTAAAAGTTTTGAGTGTCGATGATTGAAAGCTATAGAGAAAGGTTAAAATTTTTTGGTTATTGTTAAGGTAGTATTCTAATGGATATTATGAGAAAGGGAAGACTATTATTGAAAATGATATTGTGAAGACTATCATGTGAAGATATTTGCATGACAAATAGTTTGGATACTATGGCGAATAAGGAGCTCAAGTGAGAAATTATTAAGAAAAGGGATGAATTGGTCATTGTAGATATTGCAAGAGTTGAGAGTGAGAATTGGTGCATGAGAGTGACTACAGCTTTATTGTTAAATTCATTGTCTTAGTGTGCTGGGACTTTATGAAAAGTAA